TTCAGATAAGGCACCAGGAAGGCTTAGATCTTCCCCAGTCTTCTGCTGAGAGAATAATAATCAAGACATCACCCTTGGCTGACAAATGAAACTAGGAACAGATTGCTATCAGCATAAGAGGCAGCTCCTCTGACAGGTACAGGACTAGATCGATCTCACAGAGATGCAAGGTTTCTAGTTAGTAGAAACACTTAAGTCATACTTTTCAGGAGAACAGTGACATGAAATTTCTTTACTGAAAGAGTGGTTAAACATTGGAACAGGCTGCCCAGGGAAGTGGTTGAGTCACCATCCCTGGAAGTATTTAAAAGACGTGTAGATGCGGCACTTAGGGACATGGTTTAGTGGGCATGGTGGTGTTGGGTTGATGGTTGGACTCAATGATCTTAGAGGTCTTTTCCAACCTTAATGATTCTATGATTCTATGAAAAATCACATTATCACATAACTAATTGGGGTGACAGGTTAGGTGTCTTCTGAGCTTAAGGACTTCACCTTGAACTCCAAAAGGCAGTTGAAGTAGACTGATAACTATATCCTACTGGGCCCTAAATAGCTTTTATTGAGACAAGTAGGAAATTGCCTCTTTTCCACAATCAGTCTGTGTCAGAGGGAGATTTTCCTGCTTCTGGTTCAGATGTCATAAGCAGGGAGAAAACAGTCTGCTCTGAAAAGCTTCTAAATGTTCAATTGATAAGATGGAGGAACCCCAGTTCACTTCATAAAGACATGGAGTAGTCAGGATAAGAAAGCTCTCCTGGTCTACAGGCTTTAGCTGTGAAAATTTCCCAAAAGGTCTGGGGAAAGAAGGTGAAAAAAGTTCTGGAAAACAAAAGCGAGTCTCTTGAACGAGTCATTAAAAAATCTTACTTATGCCTTGAAGAGCAGAGAGAGAACTTTGATGTCATTATTGAACACACTAATAGCAGATATCTTTCTGAGCCATCTGCATGTCTCCATGATGGAAGAGTGACTTGCTGTTTGATGCTACATTCAATTCCTGCCTGCCATTTTAGCTTCCCCACTGAAATGAAATGAAAAATACCTCCCAATGTCTGTGCTAGTTTTTGTGACTTCTTCCAGAGTGACCTCTAGTCATTCAGTTCTGGCGACCTACTATTCTATCTCGGGACAAGGAACAGAAAGTGCAAGCTCTTTTATCCTAGACACGAAGAGTGATAAAGCACATGCTTCCTGTGCAGAAACTGCTGCGCAAGAAAGTTCAAGCACAAGGAGTCCGTACACAGCCACAGCAGATTGCACAAGTACGATCTTCAGTACAAGTACAAGTTGCACTTCCACTTGGCAAGTGGAAGTCTCTGAAATGCAGTGGGAAAGCACTGCTAAACTTGGAATGAAAGTTGCAAATGAATCCACTACAGAGCCTATATCCCGCATGCCCAGTCGTTGAGTTATTAATGAATGAGGAAGAAGGGAAACAGAGTAATATAAGAAGAGACTGAGGTTTCCATTGGTGTCCCTTATCTAAGGAAATCACTGCCCACATAAGAGAAAATCCAAAAATTTCAATTTAGTGACTTGCCCAGCAGCAAAATCAAAGGCAGGTGCTGGATATAATAGACAATACTGGTCAAACTGTTTCTTTCTGAACAGCACTCAGTAAACAGAGTCGCCACTATTGAGTTCTAACCTCTTGTCATGCAGCAACATTGAGTCAACAATCCGCTCTCATGGCTTAATGCTTTTGATGTTTACTTTGTTCTTTCTATAGTTCAAAAGAAAGCACTAATACACCAGTCCTCTTACCAAATACAATCTTAATCCCAGAATCCCGAGCCTTTTGCTGTTGGCCAGTTAAGTCTGTTAAGACGAAAGGATTTGATCAAGCTTTACATAACAACACAGAAGTTAAATCCAGCAAAGAGAGTTCTTTTTATCTGTACTGCTCAGACGGCTAAGAGGGGGAAAAAATGAGAGGGAGGAAGGAGAAAAAAAAAAAAAAGGTAATGAACTTGGCTATGTAAAACAAAATAAGGAATTCAATTATTTCTCTTATTGCCACTTTGTCTTTTCAGTGAGAGTCTTCTAAAGAACGCAGATTTATTCTCCAATAAAGTCCCTGAGTGTGAAGGCTATAGCTTTCCCCTAACCCAGAAGAACTGTGGCACCTGCTGTGCTTTTTTGCAAATCTGAGAAATGTTTCTTTTTCATTTTTTTCCATTCCTACCATGTATTTATGAAGACAGAAGATAGTTCATTGATTAGACACTTGCCTGGTACTTGGTAGAGCCGGGTTCAAGTCTTTGTTTTGCCATTCATGCAAATAATATATGCTTTCTATAATATTAATTACATTTTCACACAAAACATTTTTATGCAGAAAAGAGCTATAACAGTGGTCATCTTGTACCTAAGCCACACAGAATTCAAGCTGTGCCAAAGGTCTCAAATCATGCTTCAGCTTCACTTTATGCTAATATCACAATTTTATGCTAGTACTATCACAATCATCCAAAAATATTATGCCAGTAAAAAGTACGAAGTTAGACATAAAGGGTGAAAGCATCCTGCTTTAACACAATGCTTCTAGTATAATCTGTTAATTATAAGATTTTCAATATCCCACTCAAGACAGAAGTGGCTAACACTGTCCCCAGCATGGAAAGCATAGCCTGGAGATCCAAGAGCCGAAGGGATGAGGTCCAAGCCTTGGCAATCTGCACACATTTGCCTCAACACTGGGTGGGAACAGTTACCTGCCTCCCAACTGGAAAGATGCCAGAGAACAGCTCTTCCCCAGTGGCAGCATACAAAGAAAAGACCACCTGCTGGTATCTAAATCTTGTCTTCACTACTCAGCTACTTCATAAGAAATGAGATGCATCAGAAGTAATAATGTAAAACTGCTAAAGACTGAAATTACAGTAGCCTAAAAGGTTTTACACTAATAAAAACAATCCTGCTGCTGACTAGTTTGGAAATATTATATATTGGATATTATGTTTGCTATGCAAGACAATTCTACACAACAAAGTAAGAAATAATTAAAGGCAAGGAAAGGTAGAATGAGACACAGAAAAATAGAATTATTCACCTTACTGACATTTAATATCCTGTGTTAAGTAGATTCCCCTATAATTCTGAAAATTAAAAAGCCACCCTTTATTAGAGTTATGCCCTACTATGAGCAGAAAGGAAAACTGTGGTGAGGTTAAATACTGAAACACTTTTAACAAACACTGACTCAATCACGGCAAGTATATCTTGCTTTTGTGTCTAACAGTAATCTACAAGCACCAGCTGAAATTGAGCTCTTACGTTACAGGCACGTATGAGGGAACATTCTTTGTAAACTACAGACATGATGATAGAAACATGGGATCCAAGAAACACAGTACATTAACACATTTCACAGGTAAGAAACTGGAAGACAGATGTTCTTAACATAGAGAATCTTTCAAGGTCTGTTTAGACTGAAGTGTCTACCACCAGAAACAAATGACTGGATTATAAAAGGTCAGAAATTTCCAAGTTAAGCTTGACATGGTTCATTGCTCTAAATAAGTTGGGCATATTGTTTCCACTAGCCTATAATATAAATCTAGCACACAGCCCATGCAACCACTTGTTATACTAGAGAGTTTCCCAGAGAGTTTCTGAAGTCTCATTTCCTTGTTTTTTAAAAGAATGAGTAACAATGTCCTCAAATTAATCTCTTCGTTCATCAATCCCCACTTGTCCAACTGAAGTTCAAGGTACCTCAGATGTGTTCTCCGGCACGCAGAATACAGTGTCCATACTCAAGGTCCCCAAAGGCCCTTCCCACTACAATGATTCCATCTCCACTGCAAGGAGAGGCCTGATCACAGAGGAAGAGATGAGATGAGCCTTGGAAAGAAGCAGTTATCTGAGGTGATAATGATTCCATTCATATTCAAGAGAAATGTATTGAGTAACAGTCTCTGGTCTTTATTAGAAATTAATGCAGGAGTTTCTAAATCTGGTTTGTGTAACACAGAAGGGTGTGCAGCATATCACAAACCTCAATGCTAACATTTTCAGTGATTGCATTTACCACCTCTGCTGGGGACAGTGATATTCACTACTGCTACCAATGCCAAGAGAAGTACCTGGAAAAAAATTGGGAGACCTTGAATTAAAACACTTGGTCCCTATGATACAAGTGGGTGACTTTTTTTTGATACTAGGACGACAGTGGTAGGAGATACAGAAGTAATACCCTATTCCCATCTTAACAGTCTTGCCAGGCAAATGACGCGTACATCAAGAACTGCACTCTCATATATGCATTCTCACACTAACTTGTTCACTGACTTACTCCAATATCCCTTAATATTAAGCAAGAAATTTTGTTCTTTAAATACCTTCTAGATGAAAGTGTTCATCACCAATAATGTCTCTGTAGCCTTCCCCAGATAAATCCTGTTTAAAAAAAAAAAAAAAAATTAATGACAAATATACTATATACAAAGTGTTGAGGTGTTAAGAATATGTATTTATTATCGCCAGGATTAATTTAAAACACTAACGAAAGCACGGAAGTTGTTTTCCAGGAAAGAAGTCAGTCACTTTATTAGTGGTAGTCAATGCATTTGGTGCTATTTTGCAATGCTCTGGACATACTTTAGGACAAAAATTTAATGGAAATTAATAGATTGTACAGGGGAAAGAAAAAAGAAGTGTTCCTATTCAAATCCTTTTACAAAGTAGATTAATATTTAGCATTTCAATGTTCTGTCAATCAAGCAAGATTAAAAAAACTCCAAATGGAAACGATAAAGGAGAAGTAAGCCCTTCACTACTGAATGTTATCACTTGGTTCCACCAACAAACAGAAAACTTTCATATGCCAGAGGTCACCCAAGAAAAGCAGATACCAGAATCCGAAGAGCTGCCTGATCCTTCAGTCCCGAAATTAATGAAATTTTGTCAGCCCCAATACATCTAGAGCAATACAGAAGCAGATGCCGTAGATGCAGATGATCTTATCTCAGACCCAAAAAACATTTCTCTAATGGCGCTGAAGTAGTAATAAAGGGCATCAGTGGGATTTGGAGCTAATCCCACTTACAAAGACCCTGAAGAGCATTCTTACTCTCTTAGTAGCAGACCCTTCCAGCTCCATCCCCCCACCCCAGCTAAACCATAAGCAGTGACAGCTATCCTCATGTTTTGCCTTCTCCCATTCATTCCAAAGGCTCTAGCATCACCATAATGTCACTGACGTCCTGGTTTCGGCTGGGACAGAGTTCATTTTCTTCCTAGTAGCTGGTACAGTGCTGTGGTTTGGATTTAGCATGAGAATAATGTGATAACACACTGATGGTTTAGTTGTTGCTAATCAGTGTTTATACTAAGTCAAGGACTTTTCAGCTTCCCATACTCTGCCAGCGAGGAAGTGCACAAGAAGCTGGGAGGGAGCACAGCCAGGACAGCTGACCCAAACTGGCTAAAGGGATATTCCACACCACATAACATCATGCTCAGTATATAAGCTGGGGCGAGTTGCCTGGGGGGCAGCGATCACTGCTCGGGGACTAACTGGCCGTCAGTTGGCGGGTGGTGAGCGGTTGCAATCTCTTTTTTTTTTTTTTCCCCTGGGTTTTGTTTCTCTCTCTCTCTCTCTCTCTCTCTCTCGTTGTTTTACTTTCCATCACATTATTTTAGTATTTCAAGTATTAAACTGTTCTTATCTCAACCCATGAGTTTTCTTACTTTTGCTCTTCTGATTCTCTCCCCCATCCCACCAGGGGGAAGTGAGCGAGCGGCTGTGTGGTGCTTAGTTGCTGACTGGGGTTAAACCACGACACTGACCTTACATTATAGTGTGGCTCCCTAGATTCTCCACAAACACTCTCTGCCACTGATAAATAGTTATGGTGATTAAGAAGGATATGGTCCTAAAAAGTTGGCGTGCTGCACTCATGGCTATTTTAACTTCACCCGCAAAAACATAGCAGGAACACAGAGCCAGCATTCTCAGCATCAACCTGTGAACTGAAGTTGACAGTTCAGAGCTTTTCGCACAAGATAAAAATAAGGGAATAACCTGTGAAAATTAATATCTGGTTGTATTCATTAGCTTTATTGTTAAGCAATTTTATCGTGATAAAAGCAGTTCACCTCTTTTTCTTGAAAAAGCTGTCAGAAGTTCTTTTCTGCCTTCCACATGCCCAAATGTTATTCTTTGAGATTAGTTATCAGAAAGTAACTAAGTCACAAAAGCATATATTAGGAATTCTTCAGTATCAATTTCTGCAACAGAACTTTAAAAATTAGATTTCACAAACACTACTGGATAGGTGGCCCAGAGACCCTGAAAATATTGTTCTTTTCATGAGCAGATACCCCGAAATAAAGTTAGAACTCACGGGCCAAATGGCTCTGAGAAATGCTGGCAACCTGGCCCGGAATGCTATGATTCTCACAGCACAATGTTGCTATAAAAGCTGTCATTCTGGATTTAGCTTTCCAAGAAGCAAATCACAAAAACTATTTTGTTTGCTTGAGTTTTTGTTCCGGTTAAAAAGGTCTCTTTTTTTGAGCATGTGCTGATTAATATCAATCATTACCTTAAAAATTATGGAAGAAATGGACAGTGAATGAAAAGAAGCCATTAAATGTTGGCATAACTTATCATATTTCTGCAAGAAGATGGTCTTTCCTTGTAAAAGTCAGTATACTTTTGTTTGATCAAATTCCCCCATGTTATCATTTTCCATGAAGCTCTGAGAGCACACCTCTGACTGCTCTCGTAGATAATGAGATACATAGAAGTGACTACATAGGCAGATATGGCACCTCTGCTCTCTCCCACAATACTAAATATTTAGTAACTGTTTTGTTTGGTTTCTTTACTAAACTCAGATTCCTGCTCCCTCCTGCTCTCTTGGAAAAAAAATATTTTCTGTTAACCTGATCAGCAAATATGCAATGAGTAGGTATGATCTTACTTGTGATGTACGTCTGAGGAGAATACTATCTAGTTGGTAGCCTTCATCTCTTAAAATTTTAGCAAAGCAAGCAGTGCATCTGGGTATCAAATGTTGCCTGTTAAGATGATGTCATTAATCTCATCCTCTACAAAATCCACAAGTCATTAATTTTTATGATTTTTCAAAAGATGTCACTTAAAAATGAGCATACATTTGTTGATGTAAAACGCACCATCAAGCAACTCAATGGAAAAGAGTGGAAGACAGAAGGGTAAAATAACAGAGTGAAGCATTAGTATTCATTAAGCTAGCTTCCTTATTTTCTGACTTTTAATCATTACATGGGTCTTAAGTAAATATGTTTTATATTCTCATCTAGTTTCACTCTTTCTCTAGCTCCTAGTTATTTAAGTTAAAGTAGTAACTGCAAGCAAATTTCCAGTGTTTCCACCTTAAACCAAATTATTATAAAGTACCAAATTCTAGAAAAGTGTTTTTATGATGTTGAACCATAATATAACTGTTAAATAGCACATAAATTGACAATCCATCCTGAAACTGATGAGAGTATCATTTGAACATTTTAGTGACACATTTAAGCAGAATTCCTCAGCTCCCATTCAAATGTGTTCTTCTGTGTGTGCAAGATTATGATGTGTATTATCTTTGATAGACAGATGTCTATCTGCGAAAGCTGTGGGCAACTGTAAGATTTTACAGGAAAAAAAATGAAGGGAAAAAAAAGAAACTATATCATTCATCTTATTATCATTAACTCTTCTGTCAAAAAAACTGCAAGAGAGTTATCTGAATATTTTTAGCACCACTGAGACAGATGTCACAACCTGGATAAATACCAAAATGCACCTGCTTGAGAAAAGGATTCTGGACAGTGTATGTAAATTCACACTCAACAGAGAAGTACAAAAGCTGAGCAAGCATCAGAGAAAATAATTCTGACCGCAGCTCCTACTGCATAATGGAGTATTTTCTCCAGTAACCTGTACAAAGTGCCTTAACGTGAATAAAATAGTGCATATACCCCCAGCGACCCAATTTCCGAAAATGGACTAGAGAGAAAGAAAAGGGTAAATGTGTAAAACATAACTTGCAGCTCAAGAAATTCTAGTGGGAAGCAAACGCTATAGCCAGGTAAGAATATTTGACACTAGGGAGAAGTGTGTTCGAGCACAAAGAAACCACAGGCTCAAGGGGATGAAAAGACCAGCAGCAGCTCTGCCGTTTGGCCAGGCTCTGCAGCGTGGGCCTCCCTGTGCCCCGCACAGCTGCAGGAGCCCGGCCCGCGGCAGGAGCAGTGCCTGAGAGAGCAAAAGCAACAACATTTAGGTCATAGGTAGTTGTATATCACTGTCCTGACACAATGTTTTAAATCACAGCACTGCGTTTTCAAATTGGAACACTGAGTCATGAAACAACCAAAACCAGATGTACCCTGTGCAATACTATATAAATGAGGTCAGCGAGCACTTGAAAGAATAAAGAAAAGAAACATTTACGTAGAAGGATTATTCCAGCATGCCATTTCCATAGGTTCCTAAACAGGAACCCATCTAGAGTAAGTGTTTCTACCTCACCAGGAGTTTCCCAGATAAGTAAGTTGGCCACCGTTAGCTACCAACACAAATCACACAGAATGACTAAGATTCAGGCTCAAACATCTGCATCAAAACTCTGAACAGCTGGCTGCCTGGCCTGGGTAGAAAGGACCTTGGGAGCCATATATCCCATTCTGATAGATGCTGCTGCACTCAGATTTAAGAGGGTGGGGGTGGAGAGAAGAGTTAATTAGTGCAACTCCCTCAGAAATGCTGCTGAGTATATACATACATGAGGAAGAAAAACAATCTTTAAAAGCTCCCCCACCCCAGGGCTTCTATTCAGCTGGTTACAAGTCAGGCAATCGTCACTCGCTTCCCACCTTTGCTGTGCAATCAGACTCCAATGAATTCTAACTCGCTGGGAATTTTATTTTTTTAACCCCAACCTCAGCCCTAACCACCCTGTGCAGTTTTCTTAGTGACACAAGTCTCTGGACACTAAAGGCCAGGCACTCACCCTGGGGCTTCCAGATATTGTCTTCCTTTTCACCAGCTATCTGAAAATGCTGCCATCCAAATCCTCACCCATCGTTCTGCCTGCATTGCTTTATTCCTCCGATGCCTTTGCTGGCTCCCTTTCTGCTTCTACATTGAGGTTAAGCTCCTTGTCTTCACCTTCCAGGCTCTACACAGTTGTATTTGTGTTCACATCTCCTAGCCCTACCTCCTTGCCCCTATGCCCACCGATTTCTTTAACCTTGATCATCAGTATGACTCTTTCTACCTGTCCTGGCTCTGCCTTTTCATGCTGCCCTCCACGACACCCAGCAGCCAGCACATAAGAGCCAAAGCTACAGAATGCAGTGTGTATTTTAGCAACCCACATTTAGACTAACATGGTGTTAAATACAGTTTTGCTTTTGGTGTA